ATACCCTACAGTGTGTGGATTTTAATCCTGGTGTTAGTTATACCGTGTACACTGAGGATAGTGTACTGTTAGCCTGATGAAAGGTATTAGTGTTTGTTTGGAGCACTTAAAGGACTTCCACATGGAAAGTTCTGCTCTCATTTTCTGGGTACTACATTGAATTGTAGATGTTCTCAATTGGAAGGGGTCTCTGAAGGGCTCTTAGTCTGGTCCTCTGATCAAAGCAGGGCTGACTTGGGAGACAGGCTGTGCTAGGCCTTGAACATCTCCCAGAATGGAAATTCTACAACTCTGGACAGCCTTTTACAGGGCTTGACTGCTGTCACTGGAAACACATTTTTTTTCCACTTTCCCCTTGTGCCTTCTAGGACTTTCCCCTGCTGCAAAATGTGCCTCTTGTCCTTTGACTGCATGCAACCAAGAAGAGCCTGGCTCCATCTCCTAACCCCCACTTGGCAGCTGAAAACACCAATTGTATTTCCCTCTTCTCCAAGCCAAATAAACCCAGCTCTCCTTGTATGCCCTCTCACTCTCCAGCCATCTTAGTGGCCTTCTGCTTGACCTGCTTTACTGTGTCTTGTACTGAGGGCCCAAAATTTGACACACTACACCAGATGTGAACTCTTAGATGCTGAATAGAGGCAAGTAGTTGGTTTTCTTGTCCTGCTGGCCATGCTCCTGCCAGCACAGCCTGTTATTTGTTAGCTGTTGTCACTGCAAGGGTGCCCTGCTGGCTTGAATTTACTGTCCACCAAGACCCTTTGGTCCTTCTTTCCAAAGCTGTCCTTAGGTCATTCAGTCAAGAGCACTGTCCCAAATGTAGGACTTCGCATTTTACAAGTGTAGCAGCCAGAATCTGTTTCCTGGGGACCATTAGAAAACCAAAGTATGTTATTTTTCGTTTTGGCTTTTTCTTTTAGGTTGATAACGACAAGAAACATTTAATCAAACATTTAAACAAATACAGATCTGGAAGTTGCAGATAAATATACAGAAAATAGGGCATCCACTATAAAAATGGTTTTCTTAATCAGTTAGACCCTATTTTTTTTTCCTTCAAGTGAAAAAACAGACTGACATTTAAATCTTAAACTATTCTGGCGATAGGAAGGCACGGATTATTTTTTTGCTATGCACTGATCAGCTGAATGTCCTGCAAAAACAATTCACAATGAGATTGGTGCACAGTACAAACCATATCACTTAAAGAGGAATATGAATGCATCTATGGAAGACAAAGCAAGTTATGAGTGATTTAAAGAAGCATCAAATCGGGGACTAAAACCAGATGAGATGCACAGGCACAAAAGAGCTAAGCTACAAGATTGATGCTACAAAAGTTGTTCTTCCTTGTTTCCAACTGAGGAAAATGAAGTCAGCAGCAGAAGTGATGATAATGTGCAAATTAAATGTTTTGGGGGCTCTTTGAACACTGGTTTATTTAACAGGTCTAGGGTAAGCTTCAGACAAAGACAAGATCCTTTACAGCCTATAAAGGGGAAGACTGATCTTGATGGCAGAAATTGGACTGATGTAGATAGTGTGTAGCATAAGTAAATAGATTCTAAATATACGTAAGTGATCATCAATTCATCTAATCTCACAGATAAGACTGGTATCAAAACAGGTATCTGAATTGGGCTGCTTATTCTGGTCCCTAAGGCATCATCTGTCTGCTTCAGTTAAAAACCACAGTCCTTGGAAAGTATGGATTGCTGCTCCACTTGTGTCCCTGCCTGATGCTGAGCACAACAGACTGGCTCTGAGCTGAGCTGTAATACCAAAATAGGTGCTGAGTTTGCCTTGCTCTGGTATCAAGTAGAGTCTGAAGGCGGCTGTGGGTCCCCTGCCCTGTTCAGGAGCAGCAGGACCGCTGACATTTTCTGCTTCCAGCAAAATGTCAAATTCCCAGCTACAGAAAAAAGGAATTACCACTTGTGTGGTTTTATTCTTGCTCTCTATGGAAAGAAAAAAGTGGCAAAATTTGAATATTTATTTGTTGTTTATGCATCATGCCTTGACATGTAGAAGCAGAAGATGGCTGTATACCACAGTCAAGTCAATAGTTTTAACTTTTTAAGGGTTATGGTGTGTGTTGAAGGTAATTTTTTGCACAGTATGGGCTTTTTTCTCTTTTTGAAGATTGTCTTCCTAGAGGAACAGGAGTAACTTCAGCCAGTAATACTTGGCTTGGTTTGATGTTTGCAGTTTGAGAAACAAATGTGAAAAAAAACTGAGAGCACAGTAAAATTACAGAATGAGAACTGCATGTGAGAACTAATAAATTTAAAATGAATTTGTAGTTTAAGTATTATAAATTAAATTAATACCTTGTGGAATATTAACATAAAACAACCAACCAAAAATGCCCATAAACTCAAGTTCTGTTTCTTCAGTGAGGGATTTTCAATAAAAACATTCCTGAGGATTGGATGGAAAAATCTAGCTTTACATTTACTGTTGCAAATTCCAATTCAGGCAATGGTAGTGGGTAACTGAAAATAATGTAATTGTTTCTTTTTGGCACAGGTGACTTGAGCAAACAATCTATATATTGTTTGTTCTGGACAAGCTGTTAAGATATATAACTTTAGGATAATTGGCAAAATCTGAGGACTCTGACAGACAGCAGATTAAGGAACTTGAAGGTTTTCCACCAGGGCTGACACATGGTGAGCCTTTCTGTTTGAAGAAGCTTTGAGTCGTGGGACTTTTTTCAGTCTAATTTTCAGATAATTTAAACCTGTTAATTTTTGTAACTTCTGGGAAAAAGTGAAGGCATTAAAGTAAATTCACTTAAATTTCATTTTGTTTCTGTATAATTTTTGTAAGTTTCTTCTCTCTGTGAGAGGCATTTTGTCAAACATACAGACCTAATAAAGCCTAGTTTGAGGCTTGCACACATGAGGATATAGGAACAAGCTTTTTTCTTTTGAATCTGGGTGCTGGGAGCTCCAGGCATTACTGTTACATGATGGATTTTAATCAAACCATTTGGGAACTGAAGTAAGATCCCACGGTAATAATCTGTATGCTGTTGGATTGTGGCTGCTGCATGTTCTCAGCACAGTGAGGGTCCTGATGCAGCGCTGGCCTTGTGAGTGCTCACCTAAATCCCTGCACCACACTGAAAGATGCATTGGGCTTTCAGTAAAGCTCCTTCTGGTTTTGTGTTCCTGCTATGATAAAAAGCCCATTTAGAATTGTTTTCTTTGTCCTCTGACATGAATTTTTTTTCAACTTTTAAGGAATATTGCATTAGCCTCTTCCCTCCTCTCTGCCCCTTGAAATGGAGAGTGAAAAGCACTTCCAGAACTTCATGGAAGAATGGCTGATTCAGCTAGTGAATGCATGATGTTTCTAGATAGCCTTTCCTGGGAAGTTCCTTTTTTAGTAAATAAAAGAGTTAAAATTCAAAGCAGTGATCAAAAAAACCCCAATTTGACCATATTAAAGTGTGGGTTTTGTTTTTTATGCCCCCACCATGGCATACTTGCTAATCTAAAGTATTTGTGTTACTATACCACCTATATTAGGTCTTGGCTATATTTGCTTGGGACTAGGATTGCTACTGAGGAATCCTGTAAATTAATTAACCTCAGACCTATAACAAAACTTGTTGACATTTATGTGCTATGAGTGTAGACTAAATCATCGGTTTTTGCAGAATTAGCTTTATTAAAAAAGAAAAAGGAAACAAATCAGTTATTTTTCGGGTCGCTGTTACCTTCTTAAGGGTAATGTAAAATCTTTTGACTTACACTTTTCTTTGTTGCATTTTTTTAAAAGTTTGCTAATTGAAACTTTTTTATTTGAATTTTTGATGTGCAAGGAATATCGTTTAGACTCCTCTTGTTACCTTTTCCTGCTATGCTTGTAATTCTCAGAATAACTGAAGAATGTGGGGTTTGGAAAATAGGGTTATTCATAGTGGTTATTTCCCAATTCCAAGACAATGTTCAAGTCCCACCAGTTTCCATTTGGCTTTCACTAGTAGTTCTAGGTGCAGGTCCTAATTTTCAAAGCAATTAAGTTTGTCAACACAACCCCCAAATTTAACCCTCTTGCTGTGGTTCATTTTTTCTTGGGCAATACAGATCAGACACGCTGTGACGTAACAGAGGAGTGCTGAGGACAGTATGTTCTGCTCTGGGATGGTGGGGAGAAGCCAGAACTTCAGTCTTTGGTTGTCACCAGGAAATGGTGCTAAATCTTTGCAAACTGTTCCCTTCACAGAATGCTTGAAATTGGAATATGACTTTTTAATTCTAAACCCTCCACCTCCAGCTTCCTAAAGAGAAATCATCTCCCATGCAATTCTGCAAGTGGGGGAAGCACCGGGCCCTTCGTGCAAAACACTGGAAACTTTGTAGCTGATATTAAAGATGTTTTAAGGCTGTAGTATGAAAACACTAAAAATAAAACCGAGTCTGACAAGAACTGGTACTACTCACTGTTGCTGTTTGTGGTATTGTGTATGTGATGTATTTTTCCATCTACAAAAAAGGCTGCACCTAGCCTGCCTTTGCCCCTCTTCTGGTGCGGAGGGAAAGGCAGGAAGACCCTGAACTAACCCTAGGCGCGCTCACAAGAGTTTTGGGGCGCGGTGGGGTTTGGCAGCTGACGGTGTGCCGGCAGGGGAGCGCTGCTGCGGCTCTGCCCGCGCCTCTCGGAGCGCCCGGCGCGCTGGCAGCGGAACGAGCGCTCGGCCCTGCGAGCGCGGCTGTTGCCCCGCGGGGCGCGGGGCCGCGGCGCGCCGGCCGTGCCGGGCCGGGCCGGGCCGTGCCGTGCCGGGCCGGCGGCCCCGGGCCCCGCTCCGCGCCCCGGCCCGGGGAGGCGGCGGTGCCGGGAGCGGCCGGGGCGCCGCCGCCCCCCGTGCTGCGCGCGGCCCGCGTGCCGGCGGCTCTCCCGGCCCGGCCCCGCCTCGCCGCGCTCGCCAGGAGGGGCGGGGGCTGTGGAGCGACGGCGGCAGCAGCGAGCAGGCAGGCGCGGAGCTGCCCTTCCATAGGAGCCGCCATTAGCGCTGGGACCCGCTGACAGGGTCTCGGCGGCGGCGGCCGGCGCGGCGCGGGGAGCGGATCAGCCGGGGTGGGTCCCCGTTTGATGGATCCCCGGATAGCCTGGTTCCAGCCAGAGCAGCTCGGCCCCTCGAACCGCCTGTGGATGCAGATCTGGGAGACCACGCAGGGGGTCCGCAACCTCTACTTCCAGCAGCAGCAGCAGCAGCAGGAGCAGCAGCAGCAACAGCAGCAGCAGCAGCAGCAGCAGAGCGCCCCCGCCGCGGTCGGCCCGGCCTCCCCGCCCGGCATGTACCGCGCCCCCCGCGCCGACCCCCCGCCCGACTTCCTGCCGCTCGAGAGCGCCAACAACCCGCACAGCCGCGGCCACCGCCAGGCCTCGCCGCCCCCGGGGGCCGCCGCCTGGGCCCGGCCCGCGCGGGGGGCGCCGCCCGCCGCCGCCGCCGCCGCCAGCAACAAGAGGAAGCGCGACAACAAGGCCAGCACCTTCGGGCTCAACTACAGCCTGCTGCTGGGCCGCGCCCCCGCCCCGGCCGACGAGCCGGCCGCCCGCGCCCAGCCCGGCCTGGCCGAGCCGCTCTACACCGGCACCCCCTGGAAGAAGAGGAACTACAGCCAGGGAGTCGTGGGGTGAGCGTCCGCGGGGCGGGCCGGGGGGGCGCCGGACGCGGCCGCGCTCGGCCTCCGGAGAAGGAGGAGGAGTTGGGGGCCGAGGTCCTTCCCCGCCCCGGGGCCGCACGCCGGGGCCGGGCAGCGGCCGCCGAGGGGCCGCTGGGCCGCGGCACCCGGGGCGCGGCGAGGGCCCGGCGGGTGGCGCAGGGAGCCGGGCTGGGCAGGGGCGGCGGGTGCCGTGGTGACAGCTACGCCCCGGCGCTGCTCGAGCGGCCTGTGCGGGGCAGCCCCTGCGCCCGGCGTCCCGCCCGCCGGGGCGGCGGCCCCGCGGGGCCGGGGCCGCACGGCGGCGGTGCCCGTGTGCATGCTGATGGGGCGGGCACGCCTATGCGCAGCGGCCGGAGCCCCGCCGGCCCTCCGCTGTCACCGCCCGTGCACGTGTTACACTGCCGGCCGGTGCCGCCGGGCGCTCGGTCGCGGCGTTCCGCGGGCAGCGCCGCTGCGCGCCCTGCCCGCCGCGGTCGCGGCCGGAGCGCCGGTGCTGCCCTCGCTGCTCACGCACATGCGGCGCGGCCGGGGCAGGCACTGGGGCGAAGACAGGCACGGGGCTGGGAACGAGCATAGCCAGCCTGCCCGCCGCAGCGCTGTCAAGCTCACCTCGAGCGCTTTGTGTTGCCTGCGGAACAAATGCGTGGTAGGGACTAGAACTTAAAAAAAAAACAATAATCGTCTGCTGGAGTCAAAAGAAAGCGCACAGACTAGTTAATTTCCCGGGGAATGTGCTTTCTGAAACCTGACTGAGAAGGTATGCATGCAGGCAGGCATCTGCTCTCAGAAATAAACTTCCATGCATGTATGTATAGTGTGCAGGGGTTATTTATAGTTGTCGTGGATCTCTGACTGAAATGTACATGCTGATCTGAATATTTTGTCAATAGTGTTTTTGTGTCAGCTTAGGTCTCATCAGTTGGCATTGCACGAGCCCATGGAGACGGAGGGCAGGCAGTTACCTATCTTGTTTACCTGAAAACTGGTTTGAGCTCTTCCCATTTTTTGAACACAGTGGTGGCTTTTGATATGGGTGATGCCCTGGATAAAGGCCATTTGTCAACGTCTGTGGATTTTTATTTTTTTGTAAAGTTCACGCTTTTCAAAACATAACCTTTGCCTTGAACCCTTCAAGGTCTAGATGACGGAGGTGGAGGCCTGGCAGAGCTCATTTTAGAAATCAGTAGTGATTTAGTTGCGTGAGTTTTTCTGTGCTCAGCTTGTACCTAAGGGTCCTTCAGTCCCCTCACACAGGAAAGCAACAGCCTCTTTGCTTTCTGAAGTTGCTGTTCTGTGAGATTTGTCAAAATGACTATTCAGATTTGCTGAGTGTTTTGGAAGACTAGTTCTTACCACCTCTGGCTACCTGTTTCCTTGCCAGCTCCTCTGTTACCTTTACTGCTGGGGTCATAATAATTCATAAAATGACACTGCAGAAGTATACCATTTTAAGTTTTTTTATCACTGTACCTTGGAACTTTCTGCAACTTTCTTCACGCAACTTAAAAGTAATGTGTGTAGAACATACCAAGTACTGAATTTTTGTAAGTTAGTTTTTGGACTCTGGTTGTATTCTGCCTTGTCACTTATTTACTTGGAGGCTGAGAACATTTTTAGAAGTGCTTTGGTCTCTCTCTGTCTTGTAAATTTGTAAATTTTTTTCTATATTGAAGATACAGGGTGGAAAAGGGTAGGTCTCAACAAGAGAGTAATAGTAATGGGGTGAAAAAAGTGAGCTTCAGAAATATATTAATCACAATAATAGCAACAACTTTGCAAAAGTGTTCAGAGTGTCACTAGAGTTAAATTTTGGTGGAATCAGTTTCAAACTCCAAGTGGTAGGCCCTTGTAGAGTTTTTAACAGTATCAAGACATATTCAGGTATCTTAGTCTGCATGTGTATTGACTATCTAGTTTGCGGCATATATTTACATGATGCTGAGCTTCTGTTTTAGCTATTTCCTTTATTCAAAGCAGAGCAAGGTAGAGAGCATCTCTCAAATACACCCCTACATTGCTTTTCCTAAATTAGTGATGTTTCCTTTTTAAAAAGCTATAAAAAGTTTCAGAGGCTGTTGGCTAGCAATGAATGAAAAGATGTGAAAATAATTTCTACAAGGAGCTGAAGCTTCCTAGGAAATTCTAGACAATGCCTAGGTCCTGTGAAGGTTGCAGTGTGACCGACTGGCTGCTGGCAAGGCTGGTGAAGCCTCCTGACCTGTGGTATGGCCTGAGGTGCTGCCTTCTCTCCCCACTGCCAGCTGCTCTTTAACAACTGTCTGTTCTAAGGCCTCTGTCTGCATCTTGAGACACTGGGCAGTAAGCATGGGTAGAGAGGTTTGTAACCTAGCAAATAAAGTTGTTGCTAAAGCAAATACTTTAAATTCATTGTTTCCAATGTAAATTTCCAAAATTGTGTTCTAGTAGTTACTGGGGAAAAAAAGATACCAGCATTGCTATTATATCATTACTTGTGTGTTAACAGGTATCTTTTTCTTCTCTGATTGTTACTGTGCAAATTGTGAGAAAGCTCTCAGTGCTTTTCCATATATACTAGCCTGTAATTTTGTTAAATTGATAACTTTAAACATCGACTCTTTGGAATACAACAGAATTGTGGAACAGTCCCACTGTCATGAAGATGAGACCAGATTTACTGGCAAAAACAGTTGAAAGCTGACATGTGGCATTCACATTTCCAGTGCAAGGATGTCACTTGTGTGGATGGCTGTGCAAAATATCTCTGAATATGCAATTTTATTGATCAGCTGTCTGGAAAACCAGTCCAATAATTTTTAGCAAGTTGAACAGATTATGTAAACACAAAACAGTGCGCAGCTAGCTGTCTGAAGATTTAGGTAAGGCAAACATGTTGAAATAGAGATTTTGGTTAGAAGCTAAGTAGCTGTTCAGTCAAAGCATGATTGTTTTCTGCCAAGTTTTTAAAAATTATTATTGAGAAATACACTTAGTTAAGGCTATAGGCACATATAAAGAGATAGTCAAACAAGTAAAAATAACCCACAACAGTACTGGGTTTGGTTTGCAGATAGATTTTTTTTCCAAAGTATGCACAATATTCCTAATATTTTCCTGTGCTGAAATACTCAAAGGAGTTTTTGCTCTCTTGGAGTTAATGGTGCTGTTGTGTACATTATATTCTGGCTTATCTTTAATTTTTTTTTCTTAGTCTAAGTTGTCAGACTTGCAATTCTATTAATAATGCAGGTGTTTGCATGACAGGTACTCTACTTTGTTGTGGCACTCTTAATATGGTGATTTGTGAAATATCACTGTAAATCAGTTGTGTAGTGCTGCCTGCAAGTTGCTTTGCACCAGTCAGAGTCAGCTTCCATGTCTTCCATCCTCTGGGGACTGTCATTAAACAGCAGTTCTGAAAAGAACAGATAATGCAGAATATGAATGAAAAGTTTCACAGCATGAGAATGGTGTTACTGTTGACTTAATACATACCTTTAAAGAGTTAAATTTGGTTTGTCTTGGAAGGGTAGTTAGTATCAAAACTCAAGGATGTAGGAGGATGTGTGGGTTGGGGGTTCTGCATGAGATACTCTGTGTGTGTGTCCCAAGGGCAGCAATAAATATTGTTAGTAGTGTCACAATTAGAAAGGAAGAAAAGGTATTTGGGATACTGAAATGGTTATATTATAGCTTTCACCATGTTTAGATTGAGCCTGTCTAAAATGTGAGAAATGAACTGCTGAAACAAGAAGACTTAAGTGCAACAAAACCCAAAAAATAAAGACTTGCACTTAAGTTTGGCTTATTTATTGTAGGTTTCTGTGATTCTTGTGCCAAATGAAAGAGCCCAGTGCTACACAGTTCCCAGGAAGGAGATGTGGATTTGGGACTCTGTAGGGAGCTGTTTTCACAGCAATCTGCAGCTGAAGGCAAGAACCCAGTTAATGTGTGAGTTTAAGGAGGTAAATTTGTGGTGTGTACTGCCGAGAAGAAACGTGGATTAGATAGACAACTGCGTTTTGAAATACTGAATGCACGTTTTGAAGTACTGATGGAAACTTTGCCATGAAAGGGAGAGAATCCTGTGACCCCCACAGGAGGGGGTGCACACAGACATGCACACAACTCCCATGCTGCTGAGCTGGTTGGCACAGACTTCTGCTTGTTTAATATAAGGGTTCTCAGCATGTTGCCTAGGATTGCAGAGGGTACCATGAAATAAAACCATAATTACTTTAGGGAAGAAAATAGCTTAAAACCGTAAGTCTTTGCTACAGAAATTCCATTATGAGTTTTTCATGTGAAGTTTGTCAGCTCCTCAGATCTTTTAGTCTCATTTTTGAAAGAAGCAAAGTGCATTAAGGCAGACACAAACCCATTGTCCCAGGCATGAGCTGACCAGAGGACATGGAACCACATTAAGGCAGCTGTCTGACTGTGATAACTTACTCTGCATGTCTCTAGCTCTGTTTGTTCAGGCCCTTGCATGGTATCAGCCATGGGAGTGTGATTTCATGTGGGCTGGAGCACAGACAGAAAGGTGATGTGAGCAGAACAAGTCTGTGAACCTCCTAGCAAAATGTAAAACCAGCTGGAATGCCTGACTTGGGGAGATCTGATAAAATCCTAATCATTTGTGTTGGTTATCATCATATACTCTTAAGTGCTTAAATCAAATGCAGGGTTGTTGCCTGATTTACTGTTACATCACCTGACACAAAAGCTTAATGTAGGTGAAACAGACTTCTGACTTCTGGTGGAACGAGGTGTGTGCATGCACCTCTTAGAATAGTTGCATGTGGTTTAGATTCGGTGAACTCACATACATTAAAACATAGGCTGCAGGTGAATTCACTGTGAACATCACATGTAAAAAGGAGTTATTTGGAAAGATCCATAGACACAAATCTGCTTGCTTCCTGAAAGAGCCTCCTAGAGCAGTACTGTGCTCCATAGCTGCGTGTGCCAGCTGTGAAGTGGAAGTGCAG